AAGTCTAAATAATTTTATAAATATTTTACAAATTCATGGTTTTAATGCAACACAATATGAAAAATATATTTTTAGTTCAATATTTTATAAGAATTCAAATTTATTGTTATTTTCAAAGTAGTCGGCCATCAAGAATCACTAAAATAATCAGGCTATTGTTATAATCAGGCTTTGTTTAATAGTTTATCATTTTTTTCGCCTTTAAAAGTTGATCTTGAGTTTTGGAGTGAATTTTTGTTTGTTGCTTTATTCAATAGTTTTTTTATATTGTTGGATTACAAGATAACAAGTCGTTCATACTCTATTTTTGTCTATTTTCATTTTGATAAGTAGTTTTATACTTTATTTTTATAATTTTTTTCAATATAAAGAATCAGATTAGACTGAATTCGAACTGGTTGGTTTGATTTCGGTTCGGTTCTATATTGAATATGGAACCAATTGTTCCATTTCTAAGATTTCCACGATTCAGTTCGATTTCCTTCAGAACTGAATCGTACCAGACCATGCCCACTCCACAAAATGTTGAACTGTATCCTTGTGGATACTTTGACTATGGTATTCCCTAATTAACAACAGTGTGTGTCGATTAGATTAATGAATTTGATATCTAGTTACATTTAATAAGATAAAATTTGTTGTATTATGGCGAGTCTTGACAAATACATAAAAGACATAATACCATAAATCAGTTGATCTCAAAATGGTTTAGTGATCTCTGTAATGAGATCCCAATCTTTGTAACTGGAGATTCCAAGATCTCGGTTTAATAAAACAACTAGGTTATTAAGATTCATTGAACAGTTAGAAGTTAATTCCTATGTATACGATAAGAAAAGTGCTATTTATAGGATGTTTTAGGGTAAGTTAAATTTTATTTATTCCTATAGCTTGAATAAACCAAGTTGGGTATGACATGTACAATAGGAGATCACACATGTAAATGTAAAGTGATGTCACTCCTATGAAAATGTTTTAAGACTTGAATTCTTTAAACCACTTTTGAAATTCAAGAGTTGTTTACAACAAAATGAATACAATCATGAGAATTGAAAGTTTTACACGAATAATGTGTGGGTAATATTGTCTNTGTTTTAAGACTTGAATTCTTTAAAACACTTTTGAAATTCAAGAGTTGTTTACAACAAAATGAATACAATCATGAGAATTGAAAGTTTTACACGAATAATGTGTGGGTAATATTGTCTAATCTTAAACTAACGACTCAACATTCCAAGATATCGCGTTTATTGATTAACCAAGTTAATCCGTTAGTATTCTACTAAGGCATGTTCAAAGCCAAACACTACATCTCTTGATACAATAGTTTTTTGCTCGGACTTTCTTTGGTGTACGCAAAGATTTTGTATTGATTTTCATTTATATGGGTGATTGTTAGAAATTGGTTCAAAATGTTTGTTTTGACCAACTTTGACCAATTGGTTAAGCGGGGCCCATTTGTCAATTATGGGAGTTCGAAGACTGAATGTGTTCTACTCCTCAAATAAATTATAGTTTCTCGAACCAATTTTGGGTGAATAAAATTAAGATTTAGGCCCCGTTTGGTACATATTATTTTTTTTCATTCTCATTCTTCTACTTATTTTCAACCACACATTCTTCAATAAAATAATATTTTCCATCACACTAATAACTTTTCCTTTATTTTTAACCACACATTTTCCATTAATCTACTGTTCAATAATACATTCTTTCAAAAGAATGTGTTCCAAACACACTCTTAAAGTGAAATGCTTAAAACGTGAATAAGTGTAGGAAATTGTATTAGCGTGATAGCATAGTCAATTAATCAAGGCTGATACATGACGAAACATTGTATAATATGTTTAATTAAAAGTTTTTTATTATAATATGAAAAATCACGTATTTTGGACAAAAGTTGGGTGGAAAGGTATTTCAATAGTTGTTTCAACATCTATATATAGGCCCCCATTTGCAGAATTTATACAATTCATTTCATTGATGCACTATCATATTATTACATATTCATTTCAAAATATTTTTGAATTTATTTTGAATCAGATTTCATACAAAGAGAGTTCTAAACATTAGTATGTTAATTGATCTACATAATTTGGAGAGCTCCTATGGTGTGACATAATCGTTTTATTTGGGAAATGAGTGCCAGAAAACTGTTTGCACGCATACAGTATGCAGGACATTATCATTTTAAAAATAAGGAGCTCAACCCTTGCATATGCATCTATTCTTTCTATATCTTATGGTTTTACTAGGTCAAAATCCTTTTCGATTTTATTAGCATGTAAAATTTTAGTTTTGGAAATATAATTATGCTGATGCAATGATTTTTTTTACCAGTACAGCTTGCTTGGGATCTTTCAAACTTTTTGATATTTTATAAATTAACTTAAAAGGCTGAAAAATAAGGTCCAGTGTCGAATGTTGCTGCCTGTGCCGTGTGCAAACTGTTCAACCTTCTTACAAGCTAGGTAGGTGGGGTTATGGGTCGAAGGTTTTGTGTACCAGACTCATCATTAAGCCCGTTTGAACTTCATTTTCTAAAAATTATACTTATTTTCAATTATACATTCTATATTCTCCAATATAATAATATAACACATAAATTTATTTTTTATTAAAATTTTTAATCACATATTTTTCAAAAAATTACACCTTCAAATATAATTTTTTAGATAATTTTTTAACAAGTGTCGATGGCAGTGCCGTGCGGTGGGAGAGGGGAGAAATGATTTTTTAAAACGATTACGAAAGATAAGTTGTATTCGCNATTACGAAAGATAAGTTGTATTCGCCTAAATTGACTATCGCTAAAAAGAATGTTGAACACGGAGTTAACCTGCCCCTTTAAAACCATTATCCTTTCCATAAATTTAATGACTAAGGAAGGTTCCATTTGAAAAGTCCAAGACAAGCCATGTGTTATTATTTTATTAATGACATCCAACTGCAACGATGGAACTTCATTCAGCCTGATATTTGTACAGAAAAATGGTGCGAGAATTTCCACGTAATACATTTGACAATTTTCTTTTGGACAATGCAAAAAAAAAAAAAAAACAGATCAACTAACTGGTGAAATTCTGGCAGCATTACTTTTGTACAAGCAGATAAATTCAACTTCTTTTTAACAAGTCGCAATAAGAATTAATTATAAAGGGAAAAAATCTAAAGTCAAATGGTTTGCATGTAAGAAGAAGAAAAATCTTGATATTAGAAAGAATTTACTGATTCAACCGACATTTATTTACTTTTCCTTAATTTATCTAGTTTGAGAATAGTATAAAAGGCGGGCCCAAAGAAGGCTCTTTCTGAAACATCAGTGAAAGAAAAACATACATTATTGAATATGTCCTTGAGTAGTCTTGTTTAGTTCGTTTATGATATAGGCAACTTACTTCCAATGATAAAAACAATTTCTACAAAAGTAGTGTTCTAATTCTTTCGAGCATAATCCACTTTTCACATGGCCTTTGCAGTTTCAAGTAAAATTATTTTTTTCCTGCTGTTGTTTTTGTTTCTACTCTCAGCCACAGCCCAGCGTTACGGGAATGTTACTTTGGGTTCATCAATAACTGCAAACAAAGCAAATTCCACTTGGGTGTCACCTTCTGGAGATTTTGCTTTTGGCTTCCAGCAGATCATTCCTGGACGTTACTTGCTGGCCATCTGGTTCAACAGAATACCTGAAAGAACCATTGTTTGGTCTGCAAATCGTGATAATCTTGTCCAAGAAGGATCAAAAGTTCAACTATATGCAGATGGAAGGTTTGAATTGAGTGATCCTAGTGGCCATAGGATATGGGCTACTACCATTATCTCATGATCGAGTGGCTTATGGAGCCATGCTTGACACTGGTAATTTTGTGTTAGTTAACAGCAGTTCAGTTGTATTGTGGCAGAGTTTTGATGAACCAACCGACACATTATTACCAACACAGACACTGAATAAAGATGGCAAACTTGTTTCCAGCTTCTCTAAAACAAATTTTTCAAGAGGGAGATTCCTCTTCACATTACAA